GCACAGGTGTTCAAGGCACGTCAGGTGATGCTCCTCAAATGCCCTCTGAGTGGTTTTTATTATTTTTTTTTTTTAAAGGGCTAAAATGGGAAATGATCACTTCTATCCCTTTTCAAATGTTCCTTAAATACTCTGAAAATGCCATAGGTGCACTTGTAGAGCGGTTCAATAGAAGTGAATGGAGGCGATTGCAGAGCTTTGATGTCAGACAAACTCTGCAGGCAGCGTTTTTTTTTGCCTTGCATTGACTTGAGCTAATGTTGCAGTGTGTACACTTCCATATATTCCTTATTTTAACAATATGATGATATTTAGCATTGATAGGGGGGTCAGGAAGCGGGAAAAATGCAACCCAACAGCCTATTTTCACTACCTGTGTGCAAGAGCCGAACCTCTTGTTCTGGGGGCAACTGTAAAAATTTAAATTCCCCCTTACTTTCTTTTTAGGTTTCAATGGTCACTAGTAAAAAAAAAGTTTTTTTTTTGTTTTTTTTTTGTTTTGTTTTTTTTTACCTGGAGATACACATTAAGAAAGAACTACAAGGAGAACAGTCTACTACAGTATTCTTTTCTGGCACAGTGTATAGGAAGCAATTGTATGTGATTGCTTTAGTCAGTTCATCCCCCCAAACTATTGTTCAGTGGCACGTTTTGTCAATTTGATACAAGGGAATCACCCATTTTTGTGGCCACTTTCTGACCATATGGTTGATCAGTTTTTGGTTGGCTACTTTGTGATCCATATAACCTCCTTGGGCTCTACATTGTGTGATCTTCCAGCTCCTTTTGAACTTTGAATGGCAAAAACGTAGTCAGGACTATTGCCTTGTGCTGTTTGGGATTTGAGTTAAATTCCCACCAGGTGTATCATCTGCATGTGCCTCCTGTATTTGAGCCATCTTCCTCCAGGTACCTGTTTATTTTATTTATTTATTTCAGGTACTTGTATAGCGCCATCAATTTTACGCAGCGCCTTACATATATACTGTACATTCACATCAGTCCCTAACACTCAAGGGGTGTACAATCTAAGGTCCCTAACTCACATTCATACAGTGGGGCCAATTTAGAGAGGAGCCAATTAACCTACCAGCATGTCTTTGGAGTAAACCAGAGTACCTGGAGGAAACCCACGCAGGCACAGGGAGAACATGCAAACTACAGGCAGGTGGTGCCGTGGTTGCGATTCGAACCAACGACCCTAGTGCCTACATTTTCTTCCACAAGCCAAGACCATACAGATAGTCTGGTTGTCCGTAACCCAAATTGGCCTGTACATAGCTGTATGCTGATAAGACTGGAACAAATCGTTCTCTGTCTCGTTACACGCTTCTGCGATATAGCAATGTGGGGCTTAAACTACTACTTTTATACTGGGATAGTAGTTTGATCCATAGCACTGAGATACGAAATAAATACAATATATGTGTGTATATATATATATATATATATATATATATATATATATATATATAGATAGATATGAAATGTATTCATGTAACAACAATTTGGTTATCATGCTTTTTACCCCTGTGATGTGGAGGTTCAGGGGTGGGGAAGTAAGGGAAACTGAAAAAAAAAAAAAAAAAGTCCTACACTTCTGCAACATATGATCCATGTGGGAATTCTGACCAGAGGAAATGAAATAATTGAATTGTCCTCTTGTTGTCCACTGGCCAGCCTTAGAAAAAAAATTGACTGAATGCACATTAGTGACGTGTAATGCTAATTGGTATTGAATGGAGCACATGGAGAGAGTATTCTGCCGTTTTTAAGTTAATTCATCTCAGACATCCTATAGCATGAACTCACCAAGACTTCTGAGGGTGCGAAACAAATCGTAGGTTTGTGAGAGCTGCCCCCGTAGGGAAGATGGAGAGCTTGTTGCCCCGTTTTTACATTTATTTCATTAGACCTTTTTAATTGTTTTTATATTGACCCTTTCCTGTGTTCTATTTTAGGATCTTTTATCTTGTCCTTCCTTCCTTTTATCTTCTCAGTTATATTATATGTAGCCTTTGATACTGTTGACCACCTACTCCATCTCAATAAACTCTACTGCCTTGGCCTCCAAGACTCTGCTCTCTCCTGGTCTCATCCTCTCCACTTCCTCTTTCTGTAGGGGTCCCTTAAGGCTCTGTTCTTGGACCCCTTCTCGTCTCTATCTACACCTCTTCTCTTGGTTTATATTGTAAAGTAAACTGTTGGCGCTATGTAAATCCTGAATAATAATATTTTAAGGATCAGAAATTATTTTTTTTGATTTTGAATGACACCCAAACCACCATGTAGGCATGCAAATTCTGATTACAGTGGAATTGTTTTAGTGTGGTGGCTGAATTTCCTTGACGATCATTAGGTTGGCTGCTTATGCACTTTATTGATTCTTGATGTGGACTTATTGTTCATGCATTTTGGGGGCCATCCTGTTCATTTCTGATAGCGCACCAATGGATGTCAGCACATTAAACAGTGTACCTGATCCTTCATCGCACATGCCTGCAATACGTTGGCCAAAAATGGTTTGGGTAGGTTTTGGGGCTCATTGAATCTTGTTATGCCCTCCTAGCACTCCTTCAGGATACTTAGCGGTACACAGCTATCGTTTTAGGTGGTCTTGGGTTTTCTATGCAATCTTTTTTTCTTTTCCTTTCTTGAAAACCTTTAGGGGCTTAATCACACCAGACTGCAAAGTTAGTTGTCAAAAAGCATGGCCTGCAAAACAGAGGGTTTATTCTTGCTGCTCATTCCTCTGATCTTGGCGTTCTTGTAGAGCAACAATCTCTTCATATCCACTGCACTCTGTGGTTCCTCTTTCTAGACCATGCATTACCACAGGACACCTTAAAGGCATAGGGATCAGCAGAAGGAACCACAGGGTATGGCAGAGGATGTCAGCATGCCCAAAGTGTAGATTGGGAAGTTTTTTCAGATGGCAGTAGCTCTTAAACAAGAGCCAAGAAAAGGTCAGCCAGTGGTTAGGCTGGGTACAAACTCTCTTTTGCAGGTTATGCTTTTCGATTTTTTTTTTTTTATTCTAAACTTGGATTAGCATAAAGTTATTGCCTTAAATTAATGTTGCTTGTAAAGTTTAATCCAATGCTGAAATGTACTTCATCAATGAAGGAAGAGATTGGAAGCCATTCCTTGCATCCTGCTGTTTGTATGTGCATCTTGTATTAAGAATAGCCAACTGTTGCTTTTTTAGTTTATCGGTTTAGCATTCAAAAGGAAAGCTGTTTTTGACCAGCAGTATTGAGGAGCAGTAATTTCTCTTGATGTTTTACCATGGCCTATGATACAAAATACACAAGTAAGCGTTAAGGGGAAGGATCAGCCATATGTGATCTAAATTTAGTAGATGTTTATTTGCACTCTCAGAAAGCACCTGGCATCTATATCTAAGCAGTGTAACAGCAGTATTTCATTTTAAAGTCTAAAAACTCAGCTGAAATACATACATTTGGACAGCCACACCTTATAATTTTAAATATGTTCAGCCAGTCTTGTAATTCACACACCCCTTACATGTTGCCTAGCCAGAATGAGGACACCACCATTTCCTATCACAGTCCTGCAGCTTTTTTTGTGTCACTTGTTGGCTAACTGGACTATGTATGATCTTCATCATCTATTTTCATTACATCTTTGAGGTCCTCCTTGTTCTCTCCTCCTTCAGTTCTCAGTGCCTAAAGTCATGCTAGATCAGCCTTTCCCAATATCTTCAACACAGAGGAATACTTATTATTATTATTATTATACAGGACTTATATAGCGCCAACAGTTTGCTCAGCGCTACATTATGGAGGGAGACAGTACAGTAACAATACAGTTCAATACAAGAGGAATTAGAGGGCCCTGCTCCTTGGAGCTTACAATCTAGGACGGAGGGGATAGTGGTGCAAGAGGTAATTAGCTGTGGGGGATGGAGTGGTAGGAGGAGTAGTGGATTCCAGTATTCGCTGGGGTCAGGGTAGGCTTCCCTGAAGAGATGGGTTTTCAGAGTGCGCCTAAAGGTGAGCAGAGTAGGCGATAGCCTGATAGCTTGGGGGAGGAAGTTCCAGAGGATGGGTGAAGCCATTGAGAACTCCTGGAGACGAGCATGGGAGGAGGAGACAAGGGAGCTAGAGAGTAGGAGGTCTTGCAAGGAGCGGAGAGTACGGTTTGGGTGGTATTTAGAGACAAGGCCGATGATGTAATTAGGGGCAGTGTTATGAACGGCTTTATACGTCAGTGTTAGTGTTTTGAATTTTATCCGTTGGGCAATTGGAAGCCAGTGGAGGGATTGGCAGAGAGGGGTGGCAGATATAGAGCAGTTAGTAAGGTAAATGAGTCTGGCAGCAGCATTCATGATGAACTGTAGTGGGGATAGCCTGCGGTGAGGTAGGCCAGTGAGGAGGGAGTTACAGTAGTCAAGGCGTGATATAATAAGGGAGTGAATGAGTTGCTTGGTGGTTTCCGAGGTTAGGAACGGTCGTATCTTGGAGATGTTGCGGAGGTGAAGTCTACATGAGTTTGTCAGTGGTTGGACCTGGGGCTGAAAGGACAGATAAATAACTTTACAGTCTCAGGGAACCCATGCTAAAAATCACTATATCTACAACTCATGATACATTAATATGATGATCAGTGGGAAGAATGCTCATTACACCTGTGGACTTTGGGAAGAATTACCCCTTAGAGACACCTACAAATATCAATGGTGTCAGCGTGAACTTATCTGAGAGGCAGAAATTGCTGATTGCTCAAGGAACCCTTAGCAAACTCTATAGAAACCCTAGGGTTGCATGGAACCCTGGTTGGGAAACCCTGTGCTAGATTGACATGACACTATACCAACCCCAGTGGTACCCGATTATCTCATACTATGGAACATCCCACACAAAGGATTGTGGGAATATAACCTAAAGACAAATTTCTAATAGCTATACAGGCCTCGTTTTAATTTTTTTTTCTTTCTTTGTTTTATACTGGTTTGCTTCCATTTCCACACTGATACCATGAATTGTTTTTTTCTGCCTATACACAACCTGGTAACTGTATATCTCTCTTGTCTTCTAGTGGCTTTTCATGGTGTCCCAGTAAAAATCAAGAAAGAACCGCACAGTCCCTGCTCTGAACTGAACACCGCCTGCAGCCAGGAACAGCCTTTCAAGTTCAGCTATGGCGAAAAGTGCCTGTACAATGTCAGGTAGGTAAAGCCTACGTTGTGGTACCTAGGTAGATGGTGGTGGATTTTCGCCAAGGCAAAATCAGTAATTGGACATAAGTAAATCGTACTGGTCTCTAGATCCCTGGTCTCCTCCTCCCACGCCCGATTACAGGACTTCTCCAGGACTTCCCCCATCCTCTGGAACTCCCTACCCCAATCCATCAGACTGTCACCTACCCTCCTCACCTTCAGGTGCACCCTGAAAACCCTCCTCTTCAGGGAAGCCTACCCCAACCTCCCCTAACACCCGACCTCTAACCACTAACCTCCTCCAATCCTCCCACCACCCCATCCCCCACAGCCATCTCCTCTTGTACCACCTTCCCCTCCCTCCTAGATTGTAAACTCGAAAGAGCAGGGCCCTCGAACCCCTCGTGTATTGTATTGTTACTGTCTTGTCTCATGTTCTGTCCCCCTTGCTACTGTACAGCGCTGAGCATACCCTTGGCGCCATATAAATACTGTATAATAATAATAATATATGAATTGTATATATTTAAAGACAAAGGACACTGTATTAACAAATGTGGAGGACTTTGGAATACTTATGATTTATATATATTTAATATTTGGATTTGGTAATATATTGTTTCAACCCAGCACTGCACTATTTCATATACTTCTTTGTAACTAGTAGTATGAGAATGGTATTAGGTGCCTAGCGGCTGGTGGTGGCATTCTGGACATTCTGTGCATTTAATCACATTAATTGTATTATATTATTATACTTTTTTTGGTTTATGGTTGGTGAGGGAACTTTCTGTAGCATCTCTCAAGATTTGTACTATACAGGATAAATTGTACTGGTCTGACATCTTCAAGAGCTGGATATTTCACTGATGGTCTGAATATTTTACGATCCAAATACCGGCTATCTGGGTCCATATAGCTTTATATAGTTGATAACTGACTGCCTGGAGTCGCAAACTACCATGAAATGGCATTCATAAACTTATTATTTTTATTATTTTATGTTATTGGTATCTTTCATGTACTTGACTTCCATTGTGAAAAAAAATTATATATATATATATCTGATAACTTATGCTCTCTGTCAATTGTCATCATGTATCAGCTGCCCTGAATGTGAACTGTGAGGTTAGTGTCAGCCATGATTTAGCTGGCTCCGCTGATCCACAGACTTCATATTGGTGATTGTTCCTTCTGCAGCTTTCTCCTATAAACGATCACTTATACTTATTTATGACTTGCAGATGACCACAACCAATAGGTTACTCTTATGAAGGTTCTGTGGTTGTGATCCTAACCTGGTCCTGCCTATTACACAAAAAAGAACAAAAGGCAATCTATTTGGACACCTTTTTTATCTTCTCCATTTTCATATTCTCCATCATGGTAAATTATGAACAGCTCAGACTTTGATAATTGTAAACAATTTCAAAAAGTTGCTCGTTGCCAGAAGTTGTGTTCTCTTCTCTCTTGCGCTCTTGCTCCCTTGCACATTCGCTCTGTCTCTGTGTCTCACGCGCTCTGTCTCATTCGCGCTCTCTCTTTACCCCATCCCTTTCCTTCTTTCGCTCTCTCGCTCTTTCTTGAGCTCTTTCTCTGCCGCACACTTGTAAGAAAGTGCTTGTGGGGTGTCATTGAATTTATTTTCGCTGTTGTGTTCATTGCAGTGTGTATAGAGACAGTTACAGGCTGCCCAGGATGGGAAGGGGTTAACTGTTTCTAGACTTTTTTCCGGGCTTTCTGAGTTTTGTCCCTTGCTGTAAGCCACATAAATACCAGGGGAGGGCTCAGAACAAGCTTTCTCTTTCACGTGGGATTTCCAGAAGAAGGTCTGCTACATCATATAGTCCTACTGAAGCACATTGCTCCCTTGCGTTCTTTCTCTGTCGTGCTCTTTCTCTGTCGCGCTCTCTTGCACTCTTTCTCTGTCACGCTCTCTTGCACTCTTTCTCTGTCGCGCGCTCGCTTGCACTGTTTCTCTGTCCTGCGCTCTCTTGCACTCTTTCTCTGTCACGCGCTCGCTTGCACTGTTTCTCTGTCCTGCGCTCTCTTGCACTGTTTCTCTGTCCTGCGCTCTCTTGCACTCTTTCTCTGTCCTGCGCTCTCTTGCACTCTTTCTCTGTTGCGCTTTCTTGCACTCTTTCTGTCGCGCCCTCTCTTGCGCTGTATCCCTGTTGCGCGCTCGCTTGCGTTGTTTCTCTGTCCTGCGCTCTCTTGTACTCTTTCTGTTGCGCGCTCGCTTGCACTGTTTCTCTGTCCTGCACTCTCTTGCACTCTTTCTCTGTCGCGCTCTCGCTTGCACTGTTTCTCTGTCCTGCGCACTCTTGCACTCTTTCTCTGTCGCGCGCTCGCTTGCACTGTTTCTCTGTCCTACGCTCTCTTGCACTCTTTCTCTGTCCTGCGCTCTCTTGCACTCTTTCTCTGTTGCGCTCTCTTGTACTCTTTTCTCTGTCGCGCGCTCTCTTGCGCTGTATCCCTGTCGCACGCTCGCTTGCTCTGTTTCTCTGTCCTGCGCTCTCTTGCACTCTTTCTCTGTCTCACTTGCTGTTCTTTTTTTTTTTCCTTGTCAGTGTTTCTCGTACTGACTTTCTATCTCTTACAAATGCCATTCTCAATTTCTCTCTCGTATATGCTTTCTGCCTCTCTAACGCACTCGCATTGTATTTCTCTTTCATCAGCTCTCTATCTGTCTCTCTGTCTACCTTAAAAAAAAAAAAAAAGACACTTGAATTCCTTCAATAGATCATTCATTCTACCAGTGCTTCTATGACCTTGTTAGCTGTTTAAGACTGCCACTACTTAAATTCGAAAAAAAAGTTGTGTGTGTGTATGGCTGAATCCAGTAATGTTTTCTATGCAAGCTCAGCATATGAATCCACAACTGCCATCTAAAGAGATTAAGACACCTTTGTAATTTACTAGCCTTAAACTCGCCAGTTTTATAATTTATTGGGCTCTTTGAGGGCCTCTTGACTTTTCGTTCCTTTAGATGAAAAATAATGCTTTTCAGCAGAGTGTTTTCAAAAAGCTTTTTAACCTTTGCTTTCTTGACTGTAATGCATTTTTGCATACCATGGTCGAGACAGGCTTTTAAAGTGATTTACACTGTGTTGCGTGTCCGCTTGACAACACATTGTAGGTAAGACACACAGGAGACTCGGTGACTTTTAATAATTCGGTGTAGTTTTGTTTTTTGTACATGCCTTCTGGCCATGAACTTCATACAAATGCTCTACTAGTAAAATTTTGGTGGCTACTGTTGGCTTGAATTACCTGTCCACCCAATTCCTCTCAAATTGTTTCCCCTTAGTTTGTCTCCGACCCATCCTTGGTTTATGTAAACCCAATCAATTGAAGCTGAACTCCAGGCAATTTTTTTTCTGCTCATTTTATTTTAGAGGGGAGGACAGCAGAGATCTATTTACCTGATCTGCTGATCCTCACTGCACAAGACCAGTCTGACACCCAAACGTGCTCACCCCTAGAAAAAATGAGCAGTTGACCAATGCAGTACTGGCACAGCCCGGCTGCACGGGGAAAATAGAGCTGGGAAGGGTTAAAACCCCTATTAGTTTGTTTTTACTTTTTGTATCCCCCTGGGAAGATTTACCTTCATTGCCTGTCCTGGAGACACAACAGGAAAATAAGAAAAAGTGGGGTTCCCATTTTAGACCATTGTCACCAGAAAATTTGTCCCCATAGGAAGATTTCCCCTCGCCTTTTGCTCTCATGACAACTCTTACATTTTGTATTTCCGTTCACATTTTGTTTCAGGGACTGTTGTCACCAGAACAAATAGAGAGGGTGAGCCACCCTACCAGGGCAGTAATAGGGCCCTTCAAGTCTGAGGAGAGGTCAGAGGGCCCTCTTCACATCACGTTCCCCTATCACATCTAGGTCCCCCCTATGTTTCAGAAACCCATCATCACCACAGACTCCCCCCTCCCCATCAGAGTCAGAGGTCCCCTACACATGAGAGCCTATCATCATCACATCAGAGTCCTCCCATCACCACAGTAACCTCTCATCCATCTCTGATGCAGGGAAACTGGTGCTTAAGCTTACGGCACCCTGGGGGGAACCCAAATGGCATCTTGTTTGAAAAAAAACTCTGCAAGTATGGTAATGTAATTTCAATACCTTTTTTAAATATGAAGCTCTCAATAAAATAATATCTCATGACCATGCCATGAAGGTCTTTTTTGGAAACAGTTATAGGGTGACAACTCTCTGTCTCCAATTGTGCTCCTTTGTTGTCAGCCTGTCACCCAGTCTTTCGATGGAGAGTTGAAATGGCCATTTCAACACAAATTATGTTCACCTGGTCCACTGTTATCACCACCCGGAAACCTGCTCTAAGAAATAGAATGAAGCCTTCGCTGGATGTAGAAAGGTCTTAATGTCATCCGGTTAGGGTTTATAACTACTTTAATTACTGTGTTCCTTCATAACATCAGTGCTTCATATTTAAAATGTTTGATGTGTTTCTCTTTTAATATTCTAGTGCCTATGATCAGAAACCACAAGTTGGAATGAGGCCCTCTAACCCGCCAACTCCTTCCAGCACACCAGTGTCTCCATTACACCATGCGTCACCCAACACAGCTCAGAACCCAAAACCAGACCGTCTCTTCCCCCCACACCTTCCTCCATCTCAGCCCCTCCCAGACTCCAACTACACCATGGATCACAGGTGAGATCCCTATCCTCTACCCTAGCAGCCACATAAGGACTGTTGGGTGTAAAATGGTATGGACCTTAGGGGGGGGGCTACTATGGAAGAAAGAGAGGAAATGGGTGCAAAGAACACCATTGGCTACAATTGGCAGCTTAAGCTAATTGAAGTATAGATTGATCATACTTATTAACAAAATGAACTACTGAAATAGTCAACTAGCCAGCTGTGTTTTCATGTGTGCTTCTTTTTCATGTTCCAGAAACATGGAAATTCTGTTGCTTTTGTTTGTGTTTTGCATAGCAAATACTCTAATGCAGAGTGAAATATTACTAGCTTTTTAGCAAAGCGTTTTGAATCTCCTTGTTTGGAATTGCCTCCTATGTCATTAGCACTGCTAAAATAACACCTTTTAGGTATAGATTTGCTCCTAAGCTTTCTTTCCACAGATACATTTATTTTATTTGTTTTAGTCGCAGACGTTCACTGGATAATGCTGAAGCTCCACTACATTGTTAGCCGTATTTGTTCCCCAAATGCCCAAAAAATACAGCCATACCGTGAGGGCTCATTCACACGGGTGGCAGTGAAAGCTGTGGTTTTAGCATCCCCCACCCTGACTGCCCACCTAAACAAGGGCATGCAGCTGCTCAAAGCTGTACACATGCCAAGGCTGCGATGCTTTGCTTTTGTGGCTTCAGCAAAAATGATAAGGCGCCCATTCAAGTGAACAGTGTCAACCACTACAGATCTCTTTTCAGAGAGGTGGCAAGGGCTGCTGCATGTATGAATGAACCCTTACAGTTAGTCTAACTTGGTCTCCATCCACACTTGAGCTGAGCATCTTTGGCCCTTTTTGGGTGTATTTTTGGAGCATTTGTACAGGCCTTTTGACCATTTGCATGCATTTTTAGGCTTGAACTTTTTAGTGCATTTTGCTGATGCTTCCATTGAAGTCTATTGGGGCCAAAACATTTGACTCAGTCCTAAAAAGAAGCTCATGTACTTTTTTTTTAAGTGATGAACGTTGGGGCCAAAACATGTGACTCTGTCCTAAAAAGAAGCTTATGTACTTTAAGTGATAAACTGCAAGCTTCCATCAACACTATATCAGAGGTGAATGGGCACCATTAAATAGAATAGAAATCCTATTGTCATGCTTCAAATCGGGATTCTGTTAGTGACATCTGAGTTCCGAGTCTCTTCACCCGATGTGCCCATTATAAAGGGCCCCCACCATTCCTGTTGATTGTTTTATTTATTTTACATTCTAGAGAATGCAACAGGAAGAGCTGTGCTGGGACATTCAAAACTCGCAGGTGGATAGGAACAGGGTTGAGAATCATGGCAGATGAGTCTTACTGTTGGAGCATCCAAAACCTATAGGAATACAGGGATAGACCCATAGGTGGTCAGAAATCCTATTGTAGCTCTGTCTCACAACTGGAGGTCTTGAGATATAGAAAAATAGCCAAGACTGAATCTTTTAATATTCATTTTAGTGTAAGTGGATTAAAATGTGGAATAATTATGGACTGGAAATATTCTTGCTTTTGATAGTCCAAATTGGAATTGTTAAAATAACCAAAACTTTCCGAACCAGCTTGAATTTTTTTTTTTAGACCTTTAAAAATGTTTAATCTTTTGACCCATCAGGTTTCGCAGACAGCTGTCTGAACCATGCAATTCTTTTCCACCGCTCCCTGCACTGCCTCAAGATGGCAGACCCGTTTACCAACGCCAGATGTCGGAGCCAAGTATCCAGTTCCCACCTCAAGGATTTAAACAAGAATACCACGATCCAGTGTATGAACATGGCGCTATGGTGGGGAGTGCCCCCAGCCAGACCTTTCCTCCGCCTCTCATGATTAAGCAGGAGCCAAGAGATTTTGCTTATGACTCAGGTATGTACAACCTGCTGGGATGATGAATCTGTAAGGTCCTTGTTAGATGTGTTTTTATATTTTTCTTTTTGTGTTCCAATAACTGTTTTTGCATGTAATGCTTTATTGATTAGCTTTTTGTGGAAGCTGTGTGATGGTTCTGTCTAGTTTGGTGGCTCTTGTGTCCAGTTCACTTTGTTGGTTACCAATACAATGGAAAATACAGTGTGTCACATGAGGCCTAGTGCTCAATTTGCTCTTTTTGAGTGGATTAGTGTGTCTCTTTAACTGGTGTCTAATCCACTATGGTGCTACAGTCAGGTTCATAAATATTGGGACATCAACACAATTCTAACATGTTTGGCTCTATACACCACCACAATGGATTTGAAATGAAACAAACAAGATGTGATTTAATTGCAGACTGTCAGCTTTAATTTGAGGGTATTTACATCCAAATCAGGTGAACAGTGTAGGAGTTACAACAGTTTGCATATGTGCCTCCCACTTGTTGTGGGACCAAAAGTAATGGGACAATTGGCTTCTCAGCTGTTCCATGGCCAGGTGTGTGTTATTCCCTCATTATCACAATTACAATGAGCAGATAAAAGGTCCAGAGTTCATTTCAAGTGTGCTATTTGCATTTGGAATCTGTTGCTGTCAACTCTCAAGATGAGATCCAAAGAGCTGTCACTATCAGTGAAGCAAGCCATCATTAGGCTGAAAAAACAAAACAAACCCATCAGAGAGATAGCAAAAACATTAGGCGTGGCCAAAACAACTGTTTGGAACATTCTTAAAAAGAAGGAACGCACCGGTGAGCTCAGCAATACCAAAAGACCTGGAAGACCACGGAAAACAACTGTGGTGGATGACGGAAGAATTCTTTCCCTGGTGAAGAAAACACCCTTCACAACAGTTGGCCAGATCAAGAACACTCTCCAGGAGGTAGGTGTATGTGTGTCAAAGTCAACAATCAAGAGAAGACTTCACCAGAGTGAATACAGAGGGTTCACCACAAGATGTAAACCATTGGTGAGCCTCAAAAACAGGAAGGCCAGATTAGAGTTTGCCAAACGACATCTAAAAAAGCCTTCACAGTTCTGGAACAACATCCTATGGACAGATGAGACCGAGATCAACTTGTACCAGAGTGATGGGAAGAGAAGAGTATGGAGAAGGAAAGGAACTGCTCATGATCCTAAGCATACCACCTCACCAGTGAAGCATGGTGGTGGTAGTGTCATGGCGTGGGCATGTATGGCTGCCAATGGAACTGGTTCTCTTGTATTTATTGATGATGTGACTGCTGACAAAAGCAGCAGGATGAATTCTGAAGTGTTTCGGGCAATATTATCTGCTCATATTCAGCCAAAGGCTTCACAACTCATTGGACGCCGCTTCACAGTGCAGATGGACAATGACCCAAAGCATACTGCAAAAGCAACCAAAGAGTTTTTTAAGGGAAAGAAGTTGAATGTTATACAATGGCCAAGTCAATCACCTGACCTGAATCCGACTGAGCATGCATTTCACTTGCTGAAGACAAAACTGAAGGGAAAATGCCCCAAGAACAAGCAGGAACTGAAGACAGTTGCAGTAGAGGCCTGGCAGAGCATCACCAGGGATGAAACCCAGCTGGTGATGTCTATGCGTTCCAGACTTCAGGCTGTAATTGACTGCAAAGGATTTGCAACCAAGTATTAAACAGTGAAAGTTTGATTTATGATTATTCTGTCCCATTACTTTTGGTCCCTTAACAAGTGGGAGGCACATATGCAAACTGTTGTAATTCCTACACCGTTCACCTGATTTGGATGTAAATACCCTCAAATTAAAGCTGACAGTCTGCAGTTAAAGCACATCTTGTTTGTTTCATTTCAAATCCATTGTGGTGGTGTATAGAGCCAAAAATGTTAGAATTGTGTCAATGTCCCAATATTTATGGACCTGACTGTAAATCCTAGTGTGTAATAGCATTTGGTGCCCAATTTCTTGGCGCCTGTTGACATACCAACTTGATCCCCTAGTGGCTGATAATATGACTTGCTTTGGTGGTTGGTGTAGTTCAGTGTCTCAGTTCCCTGGTGTCTAATCATGTGTAGTTTGCAATCATCTAGTGGTATGTGGTGAACCATCAGTGGCATCTGATAATATTCCTGGACTTGCCTTCTATCCTATTTGATATTATACTTTTCCTTGATAATTAATAGGGGGAGCGTTGGACCTGAAAAAGGTTTTTAGGTATAAAGAGGCTTCTCTCTGTCAACTGGGTTATCCTTAGGGCTCTTCGTAGTGGTCTTAAAAGCGCAGAAAGAATTGAGAGTTAAACAGAAATTGTAATTAAAGTAAATTTTTACTTGAACGTCAAGAATAAACTAACATGTTTCAGGGCTCGACACTTCCCCTTTATCGGAGCTGATAAAAAAGATAACAAAGTATGAAATGAAATCAAAATTCTTTTTCAGCATTTAATTATCTTGGGGCAAGATGAAGTTTCCTTCTCCACTCTCAAGCAGTATGGGGGCAGATCCGTCCAGTGCCAAGGGCAAGGATGTGAAATGCCTGCTGCTAATGCATGCTGAAGAATGGGTGTACCCCTCCTTCCCTATGCCCATTGACTGCCTCCTTACTCCAGCTACCTATGGTTGGCAAGGAGAGTGCACAGCATGTGCATAGCTATTCACTTGCCAACTATTAGTCAGTTGCACATGCATGGTGTTTTGCATATCATCTGTGGGCAGGTGAAGTAGAGAGTGGGCATGTCAGAGCACAATGTGAAAGCATCAGCTTTCAGACATGGAACGGCAGCCTACTAGTTTCCAGCTACTGATCTGGTGCATACTTGCGCCCGGGGGTGCTGCCCCTCCCTCACACCTCCCTCACACCCCTTGTGTCCGCCCTGCTCTCAAGCTGTTTTCCCCCTAATTCTTGGTGCTGGGGGTAAATGGAACCGTCTATGCTCCAAGTATACTTGGGAAATTGGAGAGTCACAGCACACTGAACCCCTGAGAAGTGTTGGCTTTCTTTTAAGTAACGTTTTAGTAAAACATCTCTTTGGACTCTTTGACCATTAGTGTGGCATACTTGCTGCTTTTATGAGCTAATCTCAAGAAACCCCCCCCCCCCCACCACCACCACCACCACCCACCACCACTCTGGGGGTGTTCTAGTGCACAGGAGCAGCCAATATAGAAAACACACTATACATCTTTTAACTGCTCCCTTTTTTTTTTGTCACTTCCTGTCCCTCATGACATGTCAGGAGGCAGGAAATGAGAGAAAATCTCCCCAGTGGGGGGCAATAACCCTAGAGATGTTCTAATCCTTCTCTGCTTGATCCAGAACTAAAAGATGTTTTAGCTAGATTGCGAACCTATGCTTAGATCACACAGTGAAAAACAGATCAACATTAAAAGGAGAGGGCACTTTAAATCGGCTTATATTGAAAACCTACCCACTGAAAGGCTGATTTCAGCTTTCAGCTGGTGTTTGACAACTGAAACAAGTTGCACTGGCTGCATTAAAAGAAAAAAAAAAAGTATTTAAAGCAAACCCGTATTTTGGTTATTTAGGGCAATAACTTTTCTTAAGGGGCTGATTAAACTTGCCAGCAACAACCAATACTACAACAAAGTGCACTTATCTCCAAACCAACTTACCCTCCCTCCACAAGAGGCGTGGCTCAGGAGGAGCTCAAGGCTAGGGCCGTTCACATACCTTTCCACCTGTTGAGCTACTGATGTACAGCATCTGTTATCCCTCCCTCTGCCATTTGACAGCTACGGTCCAACTGTCTGCTTACATCCAGAGTCACAAGTCTTCTCTGTCATGGCCACAACTGTGCAATAGGGCCCCATAGACCTCTATAGAGCTGTGTCCTGAGGCCGGAGACAATCGTCCCGTAGAAGTTGATGGGGCTGTATTGTGCAGGCGCGGCCAGGACAGTGAAGACAAACAATACAACAGTGGTGGTCAGATTGAGGTAAGTATTCACTTGAGCTCTGGCAGATCCCCCCACTCATGACCAGGCCATTTTTTGCGATACGGCACTGCGTTACTTTAACTGACAATTGCACGGTCATGCAACGCTGTATTTGATATTCTCTGGGTGGTATTTGATCATCTCTAGGTTTTTTATTATATATAATTTTATTTTTTGCCCTATAAACAAAAAAAACAAACAATAATAATAAAAAAAAACAGTGTTTATCACTTTCTGATATAACTCTATACCAGATCCGACTTTGAAATCATGCGACTTTACTTGAAATTGCACAATTTCAAAGTCTGATGTCCGTGTGACTTAATGTGCAACTTGGAAGACATCCATGCGACTTCATGAACAAATGTCTATGCAAATCGAACCTGAACTTGCAAAAAGTAGCGTATGAAGTACTTTCAAAATCGGCGTCAGGATCACTCTGATATGACTGCTTCCATTGCAGACAATAGGGCGCGACTTATCATGTGATTTGATAGTTTCAAATGGCATGACAAGTCGCACCGGTGGGACCGGGGACTAAAACATATCCAATAAAAATTAGAAAAATGTAATTTCTTCATAAATTTAGGCCAAAATGTATTCTGCTACATAGTTTTGCTAAAAAAAAAACCCCAATAGGCATGTATTGATTGGTTTGTGCAAAAAATAAAGCATTTACAAACTATGTTTTTTTTTTTTTATACTAGTAATGGCGGCGATCAGCAACTTACAGTGGGACTGCGTTAATGCAGCGGACAGGCAGACACTGACACTTTGTGGGAAACAGTGACACTAATACAGTGATCAGTGCTAAAAATATACATTGCCACTGTATTAAATGACACTGGCTGTGAAGGGGTTAACATCTAGGGCAATATGTGCCTAATCAGAGTTTTACTGTGTGATATGTGCTGTTTTTATGAAGAGATGTGCTAGATTGCATTCCCTGTTCTGCAGGGAGCGACAATCCAGCACCGGTGACAGGACACAGTTCTGCCTTGTTGACATAGGCAGAGCTGTGTCCTGTCACTTTCCT